CTCCCCCCCTTGGCGGGGCGGCCCTTTACCCCCCCGCGCTTCCGCAGGGGTGGGGCCCGCCCGCTCGAGGACGGGTCGCACGCCCTCTGCTTCGTCAACTTTGCTCCGCACGCGGCGGTCGTCGGCTGCGACAGCGCTTGCATGGCCCGCGCCGGCATCCGCAGCCCCGTGACAGTGCGTGACGCAGTGCGCCAGCGGGCCACCGACTTCGGCCAGGTGCGGCAGGTCGACGCGGTGCATCTCCCAGCCGACGGTGGCTCGGAGCTGTACCGGCTGACGCCGCTTTCTGTGTGACAGAGCAGCGCGCCGCCAGTGGCGTCGCACTCAGCTTCGGCAGCCTCGAGCGAAACAGAGGTGCGTGTGTGTCCGTGTTACCCGGTGCTGAGTCGCTCGGCTCGGCTCTGCTCGCGCAATCGGCGGTCTCGGCTCTAGCCCGTGTGTTCGCCCGCGTGATGGACCCGCGGCCGCGCTCTCGTGATCGGAACCCGACCAAAAGCGAAGTGCGCTGTTGAGCGTCCGTCTCTTCGGGCGCGCGGACCGTACGACCGTCGACCGAGGCGATTCCGGGCTCATCTCTCGCTGTTTCTCTCGGGGCTCGATACGCACTAATAGTGTGGCGCCTCGATTTGTATTGTTGAGATTTGATCAGCTTTTCACCCTCCCACAGCCCGCCACAGGCACAGCGCGCACAGGCGGGTCGACGGATTCTCCTAGTCACACCAAGAGCCAGATCGAGAGTCGGCCGGCGCACCATGCGCGGACCTGCCGACGGCATTCGCGAGAAGCGGCTGCGGACCTGTCACCGCTGCTACGTGTCAGCAGTGGAGAGCTGAGGCGCTGGACGCTGGAGAGCGCGGAGACACAAGTTCTCAGCTGTCCGCCAGCTCCTGGGGTTTCCCCCGCAGGAAGCTAAAGTAGGTTGTGAATCCGAAGGAGACGACGGCGACGAAGGGCACCCGAGCGTGGATGGGCAGGATCGAGAAGTTGAAGAGGAAGGCGGGGACCCAAGTGCTCCAGCAGACGAAACAGTCCTCGCGTAAGTTGGCAAGATACTTGCCGCGCGCGGCCGCGAACTGCGATGCGCGAAGCTGGCCCGCCTCAATGGCCTCCTTGACGCAGTAGAAGCAGGGAAACAGCATGAAC